AGTAATCAGCCGTATTTCTTTGGCGTGTTTGTGATGTTGAGATTTCGGGGCGTCTTCCTGCCTGCGGATTACAATCTTCCCTCCAAATGAATTCCGACCCCGTCTCCATCATCGGTGAATATTTTACTCCTGGCCGGCGTTCACTTCGTTATATTTTGTAGAATCTGTTTGAAAAATACGGCCGCCGGGACACTGAAAACCGCCTGACGCCGCATTGTTCCCCATCTCCTTCCCACAATGCATTGCCCTCCTCCCAGCGCGCTGCTGGCTGCCTTCCCGGGGTGTGCGATCGCGGTACAATTGCCCGCGGCGTGTGTGGGGGGGTGTTACACTGTGGGTGTGCTCTGCAGATCTGATGGAGATGAAGGTGAATGGACACGGAAAGGAATCGTCAATATCTGCAGAAGGTTCCGGAAGATCCCCGCCGTCCACTCATCAAAGATACGAGCCGAGCCTCACCGGCCCCTTCTTCAGGGGATTGTATAATACCGGAAGGGCCCCTGATGGGTCCAGAAAGATTTTATCTGCATCCTTATTTATTTATTATTCATTGCATACCTCATTGTGGTCCCGGGGATGCAATCGCTGGCTTTCTGTGCTTCTCTATACAATGCAGGCAGATCATGGCTGGTGGGAGGGGCCGGCAGAGTGCTGTACTCCTTTCAAGAGCCCTAAGCCCTGATTCAGGCAGTGAGAGGAGTTATGCAAATATCCAAATGCCTTGGTGGGTGGGTGTTGCTCTGGAGCAGTGGGTGTTTCTAGGCAGGCTGTATTAGGTAACGCACACATGTGATGCTGAGCCTCCGTGACTGAAATCCAATGAATGAAAGGGGGCGGGGCCAGGGACAGTCAGGCTGAGGAGGAAAGCCTAGATGATGCTGGATGTCCTCCAGCCAGGAAATGAGCCAGCTGGGATCTATCTGACTTGCTGTGGCTTCTATTGCACATTGTGAGCTCAAAGTGTGCAGTGATAGCTGAAGCTTCCTTCAGTTCTTCCTTCCGTGGAGCACTCCACTTCCTGTAACAGTTCACTTCCCATTACAGCTCCCTCTCTTGTAATGGCCCAAACACATCTCTGGATGGTTTCAAATATGGGGACTGACCCCTCTTCCTGGAGAGTCCCACCCCCTGTGAAGCTGCAGTTCTACTTCTTGTGGAAAGCTCCACCTTCCAAAACAGCTTCACCTCTGTGGACAGCTCCACCCCGTGTCAACTCCACTTCCCAAGACAGCTCCACCCCCTGTGTCAACTCCACTTCCCAAGATAGCTCCACCCCCTGTGTCAACTCCACTTCCCAAGACAGCTCCACCCCGTGTCAACTCCACTTCCCAAGACAGCTCCACCACTTGTGTGAACTCCACTTCCCAAGACAGCTCCACCCCTTGTGTGAACTCCACTTCTCAAGACAGCTCCACCCCCTGTGTCACCTCCCAAAAAGGCTCAACTTCAACTACGGGGCAAGCCTCACCTTCGGGAACAGTTCCACCTTCCAGGAGAGCTTCAGCTATGGGGCCGGCTCCGCTTTCTGGGTCTTGTCCATTTCATGAGATAGTTCCAACTTCTGGACAACTCCACCTTTCAGAACAGCTCTACCTCCAGGAACATTTCCATCCCCCAGAGCGACTCTGTTTCCTGGAGCCACTCTACCTCCAGGAACATTTCCATCCCCCGGAGCGACTCTGTTTCCTGGAGCTACTCTACCTCCAGGGACATTTCCATCCCCCGGAGCAACTCTGTTTCATGGAGCCACTCTACCTCCAGGGACCTTTCCATCTCCTGGGAGGACTCTGTTTCATGGAGCCACTCTACCTCCAGGGACCTTTCCATCTCCTGGGAGGACTCTGTTTCCTGGAGCCACTCTACCTCCAGGGACATTTCCATCCCCCGGGACAGCTCTATATCCTGGAACAGCTCTACCTCCATTTACATCTCCTAGGAGGACTCTGTGTGATGGAGCCACTCTACCTTCATGGGAATTTCCATCTCCCGGGACGACTCTGGATCGCCACCGGAACTATTAAGATTTGTTCTGGCGGCGATCCAGGCAATCCCAACCTCTCATGTGCTTTGTCTGATGGCTTATTCCCCGTGGACCATCAACTAGAACTGAACTGGTAAAGGGTTTCTTTGAACCCTCTTCTGGTCTGTCCCTGTGTGCCTTGCTCTGCTGCTGAGTCCCCGTCCCCTCTCTGACCCCCTGATCAGCAAATAGATATGCCAATAGCCCTATGGGGTCATGTCTGTATTTTATAATAAATCCAAATAAGGAATTAGCCCTCAGAAGGAACATTACATTATGATGATGTGGTGCTTCCGCGGGCCTATCTGATGAAGCAATTTGCTACATATTCGCCTATTGACCCATTTATTTGCTGACCTTCTGGAGCACGGGCGTGAAGGGGGACATTTTGCGACAGCAGTGAATTTGCAATGACCCAGAAGGACCACTATACTGCTTTGTCCTGCAGAGTGAATTGCATTATTGACATGAATCATCCCATTTAAAGATTTTCATCTGCTGCAGCTCAGTAACACCTAAGCCCTCGTTCACACCTGAACGTTTTGTAGCGCGTTCTACGCTCGACGAACGCTCTACAAAACGCTCAAACATATAAATCCCGTTGTAGTCAATGGTCTCGTTCCCACCTTGGCGTATTTCCGCCCGTCCCTAACGCGCTACAAAACGGCCCACCCCTGAAAAGGTACAGGTACTACTTTGGGCCGTTTATGTTGCGCGTTTCCATTGAGATACAGCCAAGTAGCCTTCGGTTAAAAAAATGCGCGACAGACGCGCATATGCAATACGCCTAGGTGTGAACGAGACCTAAAGGTCTTGTCCCTCCGTGGCCTGTGACTGGACAGTGAAGGAGAAGCAGAAGACTGATGAGCTCACCTTTCTATCTCTATCAGTATACTTTGATAGCACGTGACCACTGCAGCACAACTGATTGGCTCCTTGTGCTGCTCCTTCCTCTCCCAGGGACAAGAGGCTCATACCAGGTCACATTCGGATACTTATAATGACGTAGTAATGAATACCGAGCTGCAATAATTTGTGTATTTTATATCTGGTTGAAGTCTAGCTGTAAATGGCCATGACAGGTCCTCACTGTCAGGGGTAAGTCCTCCAGTGTGAGCAGTAAGACGTGAACGTTCAGGGGTCACATGACGCCCTTTGTCCTCCAAAAATCAGCTACCGGTCACCATGTTTTTATTATTGAAGTGGATTCCCAACCTCATCATTCCATCATTTTCCACTTGTACGTGGCCGCAGCTCCCCGGCTCTCCAATGGGCGCTATGCGGCGCGGCGTCCTCTACCTGCGTACAGATCGTGTCCTGACTGCGGCAGATGAATCTTCACCCAGCCAGAGAGGAAAACGAAAGAGACGCGAGCACATTTTATTCTGTAGAAAAGTAATTGCAAACCTTTTATTCCCAAATAAAACACTTCAAATAAAACCGTCAGTAACAAAATATCTCACACAAAGATCATCTCCGTCTATTCGGCAGCAGTTTAGGATTCTGATGAACGGGGGGGGGGGTACATTATTACATAACTATAAAAAAGACCTGACGGATGGTAGGGGAAGGGGGGAGGGGGAATACTGAATTCCGCGGCAGCAAATGGATCTCCGAACGGCTAAATCCCTCCACTGATTTATGAGCATTGCGCAACCCAATTGTTTCATCTCCAGCAGTCATGGAGGACTGATCAATGGGACTATGTCAGGGCGATATGTATGTATAATGATAGTGTGTGACTGTGGGGGAGGGGACATTAGAGTGTAAGCTCCTCTGTACAGAGACTGATGTGACTGTGGGGGGGGGACATTAGATTGTAAGCTCCTCTGTACAGAGACTGATGTGACTGGCTCAGTGTTCTCTGTACAGCGCTGCAGTATATGTCAGAGTGATATGTATGTATAATGATAGTGTGTGACTGTAGGGGAGGGGACATTAGAGTGTAAGCTCCTCTGTACAGAGACTGATGTGACTGTGGGGGGGGGGACATTAGATTGTAAGCTCCTCTGTACAGAGACTGATGTGACTGTGGGGGGGGGACATTAGAGTGTAAGCTCCTCTGTACAGAGACTGTTGTGACCAGTTCAGGGTAAAAATGTTATAAATTGTGCATAAAAGTGAGCAGAAAATGGCAACATTATCAGAAAATGGTGAAATAAACAAACATGATCTCATCTTCAGGTATGTTTCATCTCCTTTTCCCTTAATAATAAATTGTGGGTCTCATATCTCCCCCCACCTCTCCAAATAAATTAAAATCATCTTGTAAACAATGTACAGGATGAGATCCATAACAGGATGGATTTGGCAGTGAAAATGACAGGAAGAGGGAATTTTTTGCCTTTTTTTGAGACAGCTGGACAGGTGAAACATCATTAAATGTGAAAAAAGGAGATTTCAAGCTTATACATTGGCCGCCTAATCACTACGGAAACGTTTAGAGTCTTGCTGTGCCGTCAACTCTGCCCTGGGCAAGCTTTAGTGCCAGTAATAAGCGGAACTATTAAGATTTGCTCCGGCGGCGATCCAGCGAATCCCAACCTGTCATGTGCTTTGTCTGATGGATTATTCCCTGTGGACCATCAGCTAGAACTGAACTGGTAAAGGTTTTCTCTGAACCTTCTTCTGGTCCATCTCTGTGTGCCGTGCTCTGCTTCTGAGTCCCCTCCCCAGCACCTCTCTGACCCCCTGATCAGCAAATAGATATAGCCTTATAGGTGATGTCTGTATTGTATAATAAATCTAAATAAGGAATTAGCCCTCAGAAGGACCATTACATTATGATGATGCGGTGCAGCCGCGGCACTATCTGATGATGCGATTTGCTACATATTTGCCTATTGACCCATTCATTTGCTGACCTTCTGGAGCACGGGTGTGAAGGGGGACATTGTGCAACAGCAGTGAATTTGCAATGACCCAGAAGGACCACTATACTGCTTTGCCCTGCTGAGTGAATTGCATTATTGGCATGTACTTAGTACTTTTCCACTTGCCGGTTCTGCTTCCCAAGTACGCTGCGGAACAGCTTGTCTGATAGAAAAAAAAAAAAAAAACCCCCGTTTTGAAGACGGCAGGGATGGAATGTGTTATTTCCCGATGTATTAGAAGCAGTGAATGTCTTCCATCACTCAGCGGTCGTTGCCGCTCACATCGCAGCTGAAGTAACTATATGACATTGGAAGATTGCTGTCACAGAGCTCGGCGCGGCCCCTTCGCTCGCCGCCATCCAGCACGTTGTCTGGCGTCTCTTCGTGTCAAGACAGCAATCTGAAAGCTCTCCCGGTGACATCTGGGCCAGCGGGAGGAAGATTTGCTTGACATGTATCTGAATGTCGGGGGCTTCTGCCTGTCAGATCTCCTACGTCTATCTGCGGAAACCTCTTCCCTACCAGCTGCCACTTATACGTGTCAGACTGCAAGGACACTTCACAATGAGGGATTAAAAAAAAAAAATCACTAGAGGGCAGAAAATTAAACTATGAAACAACCGCCTTACACGTACGACCTTAGAAAATGGAGACGGTATTAAAATGTGCAGCTTTGTGGAGGGATTTTTTTTTTGTATCCCCCCCTCCTCGTCCTCAACACACGATGGCCATGAGCTCTCGTCCTCTTTATATTTTGCCCTTTAACAATGTATTTCGTAAGCAATTTGCTGCTGGAACAGAAAGCCCTGGTTTAGGAAGAGGTCATTCATTGGACGCTCGGCCTCGTCCACCAGCGTCTGCGTCCCTTGCTCCGTCAGCTGCTCGGCCAGGTCCGGGAGGCCGGCGAAGCTGCTCGTCCCATCGGCGTCCTTGTAGGTCGGGAAATGGGCCTTGTTCCTGTCTATCACGAACATCTCGTGCCCGCGCTCATCCCTGTACTCTTCCAGTTGGGCGAAGGTGGTGGGCCCGTCTGAGTAGTCATTGACGTACAAGATGTTCTCCTCCTTTTTGGCCTTTTTTCGCTTGTGGTGCTTTCTGTAGATCATCACGATGAGCAGCAGAGCCGTCAGAGCCAGAAGCGATATCCCAATGGCGATGGCTGTCTGAGTGGCCATGCTGAGGGAGTTGAACTCCATGCTCTCCATGTCGTAAAGCGGCTCGTGGCTGATGTCCACCGAGGTGTACGATCGAGACTGCTGGTTGGACAGGTTGACAGTCAGGTGGAATAACACTTTAGCCGTGCCGCCGGGGTTGGAAGCCACGCACTCGTACTTTCCCCCGTGAGACACGGTGATGTTGGTTAAAAAGAGCATCCCGCTCCCGGTGTCCGAGTCCAACTGTTCTCCGACGCTGCGCTCGGTCAGTTCAAAGGTTCTGCTGCCGGTAGACTTTGCGTTAACTCTTGTGAGACCCGCGCGAGCGTGGGCCACCTTCCTCCATGTTATCAGTGGCTGGGGATAGCCCGAAGCTCGGCAGGAGACCCGTAGTTCATCCCCAAGGCGAGCGGTGGTCTCCATGGGGTCTACGCTGACCACTGGGGGGATGCAGATAAGGCTGTTTGCAGAGATGTCCAATAGACTCTGGTGGGACAGTCTCGGAGGCTCAGAGCAGATAAGCTTCCTATCAAAGGAGGTCAGGAGACGTTTCCCTTCTTCCTTCATCCAGGCCCGGAGCCAGTGCAGGGCGCAATCACATCTCCACGGGTTGTCTAGAGAAACAAAAAGAAAATAGATGTCTGTGATTCCAGAACAACCATGAAATAGGGTCTTCAATATTTACTGGGGCTGTGCAAAATATGAAAACTGGAGATTAATGTTGTGGTGGGAGCTGTGTGTGGCGCTCAGAGGTGTCTTTAATACCAGTATTGCCATAACTCTTTATTTGTCATCTATGTTATATTTTTTTAGTACAGTAATAAGAGCCAGCATCCTGTTCAGCGGTACAGTGGGGGCATTACTACAGATCATGGGGCCCCATAGCAAAAATGTGATGGGGAGGCCCCCCTGACGACCTCTCTCTGAGCTGAGTAACGACACCAAGATCCCAAAGGCTTCTCTTGTGTATCTGACGTCAGCTTTCCTACACTGTAGCCACTCCAAACCTTAAAGTGACATTAAACCCTCAGATTTTTTAACATAAACCAATACTGTAATGTGTGCCTTACTTAATCCATGGTAGTTTCCCTTCTCTTTGCTGCTCTTCCTTTTAAATCCGTATCTCTTCTCATGCTTGGGGAGAACTTCCCTTTGCAGCAGACTGCCTTGTCTCTGGAATGGCTACATGGTTGTGGCTGTGTGTAGGTTCACAACCTGAGCCAGCACTACAGGAAGAGGCACTCAGCTGCAAAGGGAAGTTCTCCCCAAGCATGAGAAGACATGAGGATTTAAAAGGAAGAGCAGCAAAGAGAAGGGAAACTACCATGGATTACAGTAAGGCGCACATTACAGTATTGGTTTATCTTAAAAAATCTAAAGGGTTTAATGTCACTTTAATGATACAGTACTGTGTTATCTTCACATGCAGTGGCGGAACTATCGCCATAGAGACCCAGGGCCTGGGGCATAGGGGGCACCCGGCCAGGACAAGGAACAAAGGGGTCCCCCCTGATGCCGTGCAGGCTGCCTGGGTCGCTATGGCATCTCAGGCTGCTAGCTGTCACTGGCGGCTGTGAGGAGGAACGCGCTGCTGTTCAGATCTCTGACAACCTGTGCGCGTTCCTCCTCACAGCCGCTTCTGAGTCAGTAACAGAAGGCAGCTGCAGAGGAGGAAGCTGGGGCCCGGCCTCGGCAGCAGAAGAGGAGGTGGGGCTCGGTGGCGGTGGAGGAGACGGGGCCCACCAGCGACCGTGGAGGAGGATGCTGACAGCAGATCGGGGCTAACAGGTAAGAGGTCTTCAGGGGTGTGACCAGCCCACCAGAGACCCTGCAGAGCCCACCATAGAGAGTCTATGGTGGGCTCTGCAGGGTCACTCTCAGATGGGCTGTGTGGGATCTCAGGTGGGCTCTGCAAGGGGTGTAACTAGAGATCACAGGGTCCCATACAAAATTTTGCTATGGGGCCCTGTGATTTCTAGTTACGCCCCTGTTCACATGGTCTATGTTTAATTTGCCTCAACAACCTGATGGGGCCCCCTTCCACCCCCAGGCCCCATAGCAGCCGTCTGGGCTGGCTATAGCTACGCTACTGGCTACAGCAGCTGTGCAGGTTATGTTATCAGCTCACAAAATTTCTGGCAGGATCAACAAGTAATTGTTTTGGCACTTATCAATTAGATATCAGAAAAACTGCTTTCAATGGTGATTAACAAACCAAAAGAAACCAAATAGGAGAAGTTCCTTGTCTTTAATAGACTATTACTACCCATGAATGAATCAGAAGTCTTGCCGATTCATTCTTTTTTTAATTCACCTGAATATTTGCATTCATTACACAGACTGGTAATGGAGACAATTGTGATTCACGAATTGTACAATTCTCTGCGGTTTCAGCAAATCTCCCTGGATGTGTTCGGGGTAGTTTATTGGCCGGTGAGCCACACAGAGCAGAGCCAGCAGAAGGAAAATAACTCTCTCTTTCCTGCCTGCCTGCCGGCGATCCTTCCTATCTCTTCTGCTCGTAGAAATGAAAGGAAATCATTTTAAGAAAAATAAACTTTAAAGAAAAGCCAATTTTCTTACAGTTCCTGCCATGTGCCTAATGGGCGCCTCACATCGATCAGAAAAAGTTCAGAGCCAAATCCGTACCCGACTCGCAGCCATCGGCGCCGGCACTTTCGGGGGCGGAGATCTGGCATTTCTACCTTGACATTTATAAACGTCGCCGAGCAGAATGGCAGAGCAGAGAGTGACATTTATAAACGTCAGTTTTCGGCAAGGAGGGAAAAGTTGAAAATAGCAAAAGCCGATTTGGAGCCGTAATTCAGAATGTACGCATTTCACCCCGGGGGGGGGGGGGGGTCGACGGTGGTTTACAATTAAAA